GGTTCTGGACACCACACTTCAAGAAGGATGCCAGCAATTTGGAACAATGGTTGTTGTGGGTTTTTCGGGCTTCTTGGCCGTGTTCTGAAGGTGGTTCTTCCTAACGTTTCGCCAGTCTCTGTGGCCGGCATCTTCAGAGGACAGCAAACTGTGCTCTGGAACAAGTTCAGAGGAGGGCGACGAGGATGATCAGGGGGCTGGAAATCAAGCCGTAGGAGGAAAAACTGAAAGAATGTTTAGCTTGGAGAAACGAAGATGAAGGGAGATAGGAGAGCCCTTTTCAAATGTTTGAAAGGCTGTCCTACACAGGAAGGACGGGATCTGTTCTCCATCACCTCAGAGTGCAGGGCACATGATTATGGGCTCAAGTTATCGGAAGCCAGATTTCGGCTGAATATCAGGAAGAACTTCCTAACTGTAAGAGCAGTACGACAACGGAGGTAATGATGACCTTGAGAGACGGTGAGTGCTCCAACACTGGAGGCATTCAAGAGAAGTTGAGACAACCACCTGGCAGATCTACCTTGATTTGTATTCCTTTACTGAGCGGGAGTTTGGATTCTGTGGCCTTATAGGACTCTTCCAACTAAATTATTTATTTATTCTATGAAATTCTGGGAGGTGCATTATTGATGGTCACACAGAGATGGTTTACTTGTGTGTAGCTCGCAGAGGGTCTTCCATTTCCTTTAGGCTGGTGTAGCTGCATGATAGAATTGGTGCTCGTTTCAGAAATAGGGTTCTGATGGTGGATGGGTTACTTGGGTTTTTGGGATGTTTCTTAGCTACCCGTTGTGCTACTTTTTTTTAAATTACAAAAGTTCAGGAGTAAGGCAATATACACAGTCATGATATGTAAATAAGAGTAATTATTATTATCTCGGGGGTGGCTCTGACTTTCTCCTTGTCTTTGCAGGAAAGCAACAGGAGGGCCACCAAGGGAGTGAAAGCCCCTTTCTTCCAAAGTAGCTGAAAGCAGCAGCACCTGGGCTGGCTTGGGAGGGGAATTAAGGGATCAGCTTGGAGAGGGACTGGATTCAGAAGCAGCGCTAAAGGATACAACACCCCTCCCCCCACTTTGCTCCTCCACCTTCTGGTGACCCAGAAACAGGGGACCATTTCCAGACTTACCCTTCCTTCAGTCAGAGAATCCACCCTCCACCAATAACTGAAGAAGCTCCCCCTGGGAGTGGGGAGTGGGTGCAGCCCACCTTCTGGGGCTCATGGGTTCAATTGCCCTTTCGGGATCCAGAGCAGGTGATACAACCAAGTGGAAGCGAACACCTGAATTTTGCTGCCGGATTAGCCTTGGAGTTAAGATGATTTACCTTCTGGTTTCATTCATTCATTCATTCATTCATTCATTCATTCATTTTCTACAACTGAATGGGTTACAACTCATAAATTAGAAAACAAAAATAAAAATAGAGATCTTAAAGCCAACAGCAATAACCCAACCCCCCCCCCAAAAAAAACAGATGGCACCGACTAATCCCAGAGTGGATGGAGGAAAAGAGGGGAGGGCAGAAGAGGAGGGGAAAGAAAACAAGTGGGGGAAGGAGGTCAGCTGGGCCCAGTGTGAAAAATCTCACCAAAAAGCCATGTCTTTAATTGTTTTCTCAAAGTCACACAATGAAAGCATTACAATCGACGTTCTCAGAAAGTGCAGGGATCACCGTGAATCGGTGCAGTACTGGGCCCACACAAGCAGATTGTGCACCACACTGATTTTCTTTCAGGCAGAGTCAAACTAGTTTTAGCCCAGCATCACAAGAACCCCAGATGAAAGGATATAATCTCTCACCGGCACAAGGGGAGTGAAACCCATGGCCAGTGCAGATGGGCCCTTCACGGATGCATCATGCAGGAAAAGGGGAATGTCCGCCACTGAAACAGAAAAGAGGGAGGAAAAACCAACGGCCTGGAAAAGGCCTGTATTCAGACTTTGCTCATATTAATAAGCTTAATTTGCTCATCTGAAGCAGTAGGTGCTGCCGCAAGTGGGAGTGAACTTCTGGATGAGGTCTCTTGATTCAAAGTGTTGCCATGAGGGTGAAGCAGATAACAATAACTACAACAACTACAAGAACAACAAATCCTGTGGTGAGCTAAACATAACTGAGCCCAGAACATGCTGAGAACCTTCTCTGGGGCAAGGGATAGCATGCCGGCTGGTATTTGCCTACTTACTTTGGGAAACAGACTGTGACCAGAACTGAAACATCAATGGCAATTTCCAGTGGATGGCTGAAATCCTGTTCCTTAACATCCTATGTTGGACTAGTGTGGCTCATTGAAGCAAGTGGGGATCGGGAGAGTCAACCCCTCTGTAGGGCCAATGGATTCAGATGGATCTACTTGAGTTGCTACTTGTTTTGGCAAAGGAAGTTACAACTAGGGTAATAGATTAGGAGCACTTGAATCAATGGAACTTTTGCATTTGACTCACCAAAACCCTACTGATTCAATGGGCCTACTCTAGCACAACTTACTACACTAAGCCAAAGGATTTAACCCATTGCGTGCATGTGTGCTCTTTAATTTTTGAAATGCCCTCAGACATGGACTACATGTGGAAGGTGAGAAAATGAATGAATAAAGACAGGAAGGTTAGTGATAAAAATGTGAAAATGAAGACTTAAAAGAAAAAACCCTTCTCAAATGTTTTTTTTTCCCTTAGAAAAGATATTTTCTTTATACATGACTCTCTCTTGTGCTCTGAACTACAAACTCCAAACTACAAACTCCAGACTTCCTTGCAAATCTTAGGGTAATTTTTAGCAGGTGGTTCAATTTCAAGGTGGGAATGTGGGCATGATAAAAGGAAAAAGAGAAGAGTAGCAATTAGTAATAAGTCACCAGCAGAAGGAAACATAGACTTCCAGACCCCCGTCACCACCTTAGCCAGTTATGGGTGCTGGCTTTTACTCTGTTTCTGGCTGCTAGAAATTTTCACACTGGGTGAGTCCTCTTTTGATTCCTTTTCCTCCAAAATTTCTACTTGTCTGTAGCTGGATTGTGAGCTTTCCTGGGCAGTTGGGCGTCACCTTGGTAAGTAAGAGGAAAATATCAGGCTTCTGAGAGAGAACCAAAGGTGAAACAGAGGAGATAACTTTGCAATGGGCGAATATTGCCAGATGGAGGCTGCTTCTATGTACCACATCCTTGTGTTGGGGCTGGAGAGAGAATTCTCTTCTAAGGATATCTCCTTCAACATTCTTTGCCTGGCACTTCCCAGAATTCCTGAATCTGCGATTTCTTGTGCCTCCACATGTTCTTGGACTTCTACTCCCAGAAATCATGGCCAGCAGAGGTGCCTTCCAAAAACTACCATGCCCTTAGATTTGGGGGGCAGGAACTGGAGACCTATAGTGCAGCCTCTGAAGACTAGGCCTTGAGGTCTAGAAACTGAAGGTATTTGAAATTGTAGAAGAGGAATTCTGGGATAATTTGGCGAGTTGGAGTGCAGGAAATCCAAATGCCACATCCTTTTCATTTTCTCTTAATGGGTTAAGGTTGCAGCATTATGACTTCCATCTATAAGGAGCTGAATTAGATTCTCCCTCCCCAGATTCTGCCTTCGAAGGCAGTGGAACTCATGACTGAGGTTAGGGCTGGTGTCCCAACTTTTACTCTAAAAATGTTTCTACTCTGTTATTAAAGGTGACAGATGAAGGTGAAGCTCTGATTAACACCCATGGAAGGAGAGGCTCCTCTTAAGGATGAACAGAAGCAGCTACAAGCAAGAGCCAACCAAAAAGAGGCAGATAAAGCTCGTTTTCTCCTTTCAGAGGCCCCTCAGAATCTACAAGGTATATATATAGAGAGAGTGTGTGTCTTTCCTCCTACACCAATCCCATAGAATGAGAAGAACATCTTTCTTTGGTGTCCGTTCCAGAAGGTATTGTAAGTCTTCATAGAATTGGTCAGTTTCAGACTCCTCAGAATTGGTGGTTGGTGCATAAACTTGGATAACTGTGATGTTGAGAGGTCTGCCTTCGATTTCTATTAAAATCACTCTATCATTTTTGAGATTATATCCCATTACAGCTTTTCTCAATCTTTTCTTGACTATGAGGGCTACTCCATTCCTTCTACAGGCATCTTGCCCACAATAGTAGATATGATTATCATCTGAATTGAATTCGCCCATTCCTGTCCATTTTAGTTCACTGATGCCTAGGATGTCAATGTTTACTCTTGCCATCTCCTTTTTGACCACCTCCAGCTTCCCAAGGTTCATAGATCTTACTTTCCAGGTTCCTATGCAGTATTTTTCTTTGCAGCATCAGACTTTCCTTTCACTTCCAGGCACGTCCACAGCTGAGCATCCTTTCGGCTTTGACCCAACCACTTCATTAGCTCTGGAGGTACTTATACTTGTCCTCCACTCTTCCTCAGTGAAATGTTGGACGCTTTCCGACCTGAGGGTCCCATCTTCCAGCGTCATATCATTTAGCCTTTTGTTTCTGTTCATGGGGTTTTCTTGGCATAGATATTGGGGTGGCTTGCTAAAGCCTGCTCCAGATGGATTGCGTTTAGTCGGAACTCTCCACTATGACTTTTGGGTGGCCCTGCACGGCCTAGCACATAGCTTCTCTCAGTTACTCAAGCCGTTTCAACATGGCAAGTCATCAATCCATGAAGGGACTTGTGTCTTTAGCTAAATCTTTCTCATATTCATTTTCTAAAGTATTTCGCTTTATCTTCTGTCTCTAGCTAAAATTAAATACTTTAGGAAAGGAATATGAGAAAGATTTCCTGAATACAAAGCAGGTTGATGAATGCAATAAACTTTCTTCTCTGGCACCCTTCCCTCCTTTTCCCCACTAGATCCTCAATTCACTATTAATTCTCTCCTTCGAGCAGATGAGGGAAAAGAGAAGGAAGTAAGACTCCAGGGGACATTGCCAGAAAGAGGGGAGGATGAAAATGAGAACTGTTGGGATGGAAATGAATCCCTGAGGCAGAATCAGGCAGACCAGAGGAGAGACAGATCTTACAGATATCCGAACGGCGATGCCTCTGAAGACAAAATGGGGA